ATGGTACTTCGGGCTGGACTAGAGAAATTGGCCCGGCCCACGAGCACGTACTTCATGTTGTACTGACCTCGAGTGGTACATTTAATGCATTGACTTAAAATTATTCATTCTTGCAGTTATATCCCAAATCGTGGACCGCCATATTAGTGTCTTTAGACAACCAGGGAATGTGAAACATGAGGTCGGCGATGTGGGGACTGGGAAAGGCAATACCTCTGACAACAACTATATCTGAGGGTTTACAACCTGACACGGACCTTCGCAAACGAGTATGACATACCAAACAATGCACTGCTTTCGGTAAAGCAATCGGCAAAAAATATAATTAATTTAGCTAATAAGATGTACTACAGGAAATTTGTTGAGTTTTCTAACCTGACACGGACCTTCGCAAACGAGTATGACATACCAAACAATGCACTGCTTTTGGTAAAGCAATCGGTAAAAAATATAATTAATTTAGCTAATAAGATGTATACACGAGTATGTGAGGTGTTTGCATCTATCTATGGCGAATTTGTTGAGTTTTCTTAGTCATGAGAGGTTGTCTGATATTTGTACAGGAAAAATGTTGTCTTTTAACTTTGCAAAATTTGTTGTACTTTCAAACAATGATTTTGAGGATGATCAATTTTTGCAGGTCATTTGATATTATTTCCATAATCCATTGCTTGAAACGTGATTGAGTTGTGGGTTTTACTTGGTGATTTAAATTTATGAGGTAATAAAACCAACCTACTGAACAAGAATTTGTTCTGAGCCTGTAAATACTACCGTCTCCTAGGACATTGTTTCTTGATGCAACATAGATCCATGAGTACCCCAATTGTTCGTTATTTTGTTTGCGTTTATTGTTCTTTGTTCTGATGTAATATACTTGTTAATCAACTTCTGCTCAAACAATTATTATGCAGTGTTTTTTAGGTATGTTCTTTTTTCTTTATTTTCTTTTTTTTCTCGGTGATATGAACAATATGTTTTTTTCTCAAGTCTCAAAATAAAGGGTGCAAACTATGTAGGTCTAATTAACGAATGAGTAATTATATTTGTGCGAATTATTTCCACATAAATAATCAAATATCTGATAGCCAATAGCCAATAACAGATTGAATTGGTATATTTGACTATTAGATTAATTTTAGGAAAAATATTAGGTAAATATGCAATTATTTGATATTAACTGTAATTATTTTTCTTTATTCAAAAAGCTTCTATATTGAACTTGTTTATTACATTCAAAAACTATTTGAAGTTGACATCTACCCAATAATTGAATTAGATTTTATGACATATCCAAAACTCGAATTCATCTTATACCTTCATTTCAAGACCTATACGTTGTTTACCAAGTAAGTCATTATGTATTCTAACATTTTTTCCCCTTTAGTAGGTATGTACTGTCTAATTGAATCCACTCAATGATAACAAGAATATAGTAAGCTTAATTAACAATGTCCCAAAAAAATTGTTGGGGCTCTAATTGCCACATGATAAGCACATGGGGTGACTTCCAGTTAATTTCGAATGCAATACAAACAAAAATAGCTAAGTTATCAATAATTTTCCAGGATTATGCATATGTTGAAATTGTTGATTTAAGTTTTTGCCTCATAAATCTGGGTTAGATGTTGTTGATATGTTGTTCTTCTTTACCATAACCTACTTTGTTGTTATAGATTTAAATTATGCAAGATTTTTCAAGCATGTTCTGATAGTTTATTCAAGATAGATGTCCTACATTTTTTTTTCTCTAATATTGGTCATTTGTCTAAAATTAAATAACTGTAGTTAAAAAATATGTATAAATTCAATTGACGCTAAATTTTAACTCGATTAAAGACTAAATTTAAGTGGTGGTTTTATGAGCTACTAAATACTCAAATTTGATGCTTAATCATAGAAATAATTGGGTCCGGCTGTGCGTGCACAGCCGCAAACCCACTAGTATAATATAATATAAAGATTAGAATTTATGCCTTAATAAAATTGTATAAAATTGTATGCCTTAATAAAGTGTATAAAATTGTATGCCTTAATATATATGGATGGAGGATTATAATATATATATATATATATATAATATAAATACCACATATAAAATTTGTATTTTAGTCTATTTTTGTCTACTCAAATTAACTAAAGATTGGATACCTCATTGTGAAAATTTTTTTTTTTTTAGTTTATTTTTGTCTATTCAAATTAACTAAATGTTAGATACCTCATTAAGAAAATTATTTTTTATTTATTTTTGTCTAATCAAATTTATTAAAGATTAGATACTCCATCCTATATTTTTAATTTATATGCATTATTCTTTAATTTAACTTAACAAAAGACACTTATATTCAATTTCACCCTATGCAAGTTTGAACTATATGAATTATTTGAGTGGTATTCGTGAAAATTACTAAAGATGTATTTGGTGAGTTTGATTTATAGGGCAAACAAATGATTAGATGAAACAGTCTTAACATTGGACGATCATTTTTATGTAACAGAGTAAGTGAACATAAGTAATTTATATGTTATTGTTTAATATGTAAAACCTAACAAGTTAAAAGCCAAGTTAAAAGCCGCAATCAATATAACAAACAATTTGCACGATTGGTTTTATGTTTTTAGTTGTTTTAAGATAAATTTTTTAACATATAGTTGACATTCTTAACTATATCTTAAAAACAAAGGAGTACACAAGTTTTTCAGTTAAAGAGATTACGATATGTAAAATAGTACTACCTATAAGTATTGGTAAATTAAAGAAATAAATTATGGGCATAGAGAATTGGTAAATTCAACATACATTTCAATTAAATTATAGTTCATAGCTACGTTCTACTTTCTATGTATCCAGGATGAAGAAATTATATTAAAATATAGAATAAATTATACAACATGATTATAAAATATAAGACTGAAATTATTCTTATTATTTTTTTTTGGATAAAATATATGTAATAAGATGTACTTTTAAATTCAAGTTGACAATATAATATTTATTTGAAATGATATAGCGAGAGATATCTAACACTTAGTAAAAAAAAAAAAAAAATAGTTGTCTAAATTTAACACATAACTTATATGTGATAAAGTATGTTATTAGTTATCTCGCATATTATACACTATTTTGGCGTTTCACGAATTGCCAATCATACTCCAAAGAAACAGCGTTATAGAATTATACATAGCATTTTACTTGGATAATATTTAGTTATTCTTTTTTTGTAATATTTGTAAAGTGTAAATATATATAAACTATACACGTATAAGTTTATTTATCTAGTTTATTATTATTTATTATATATATGCTATTTCTAGTGATTAGAGCTATTCTTTTTGTATAAAAACTATAAATTGATTATATTTATATATGTGATGCTCATACTTATAAAGATATATGATTAATATATTGTATAAACTAGATAAAATAGAAGAAGTAACAAAAGTTAGATCCTAAATTATATGAATATACTCCATCTTCATTCTTCAATATCAATAAAATTTAAAAAAAAAAAAATTATTTACTAAATTATTATTTTTGGAACATGTATTTTTTGTATATTTATTTACATCTATAGTTATTAGGTGTGTGGGTAGGAAAGACGGGTCGGGTAAAGAAAACAAGTGGTAAACGGATCGGATATTGGGATTTTTTATTAAACACGTACTTGGTGACCCCGTCAGTGGTTACAAGAAAAAACCCAAGTACGACCCGCAACTCGGGATTTTTGGGTCTACCCGACCCAATTTTTCGGGTTATCCACGGGTAACCCGACGATAGTTTTTTCTGACAACCCCAAATTTGTGGCTGACAATGGCGTGCAACGTTTGGATACAAATATATTTACTCCTTTTTTGTTTTGTTAACCATAGTTAATTTAAAGAAAAAAATGTAGTATGATTTATTGTTAGTGCCATTTTTTATTTTAAAATAAAATAATTAAAATTTATTTAATCCAAAAGTTTGAAAGATATACTGTGAAGTACTGATAAGTAAAGTTTTATGAGTTGATGAATAGTGAATAAAAATTGATATGAAGTGTGCAATTATTGTCATCTAGTTATATGGATAATATTGATATAGCGGAGTTAAATTAAAATGGAATTAGAATTTAAGTATGAAATGAAGTATTTTATTTTCAAACAAACTCTAAAGGCGTGTTTGTATATAAATATATTCAGTCAAAATATTTTATTTTATTTGGTTAACTAGAGTTTATTCTTGAAAAAAAAAAAAGTGACATGATTAATTTTTAGTGAAATTTTAATATATTTAAAATAAAACAATTAAAATTGATTTGATGTAAAAATAAATATTGATTAACAAAATTTATGTAAGTAGATGAATAATAAATTAAAATTGATATGATTTGTAAGAATAACTAATTAGTATCATTTAATTATATTAATAATAATGAAGATAGTCGAGAGCTATATGTGAGTCAAATTTTAAGTATGAACTGAATATGGATTGAATTATTCTATACACAAACATACCCTAATTATTTGATCGCATTCAAAGTAAGTGTTGAAAAGAAAGAATATGGTATTCCTATTTAAATAAATATATATATATATATATATATATTATATTTTTTATTCCTGCGAAAACTTATTAACACAAAAACTATAAAATAACATGGTCCACCTCAACTTTATAACCAAAAATGTGCCTGGGTCAAAAGGTAAGAGGAAAATAGTGTTAATCAAACAATCTTGACGAGCAAGAACAGTTATATCCACAAACACCATCTTTTTTTTTTAAATTAAAGATAAAATTTGGACAGGTCAACATGGAAATGAAGTTTCCTAGTTCACTACTCTGGGGAGTGTGGAAAACTAGTTAGTTCTGCAACTATACTACTGCTATAGAAATCTTAACATTACACAAACACAAATAGATAGAAATATCCAAGGAGCTGAAAGCAAAATGTACGACCAGACCACGATGTTTCTTCGAAAATTTACCACAGGCCATGAGACCTCACAAACAAGTTAAAGAGTTATGACGACTGCTTTGAGAGAGCTCCAGCAGCAAATAAAAGATTCCTTCTTGAAAACTGCAAGCAAGACACCCGAAGAAAAAAAAAAGTTGAATAAGACTTTTGATTAATGAATGAGGAGTTAAAACTAAACTGGCTCTCTATTTTACCTGCAGTGCGTATACTGGGGTGGATTTAGTGGGTAGTGTCTTCAATGATCTGAGCCTGCCCGTGCTTCCATTCTTACTGTTGGGATAAAATCAAAAAAATTACGAGAAGTAATCATGAACATAGAGATGGTTGAAAGTTTATAATTCTTCAAAGAAGATTATAGCTTGATTGATAAGGCTTACTTTTCTTCTGTTTTATTGACCTTTGAGCTTGTGGCCACGTCCCATATCTTGACTGTGCAGTCGGCAGAGCCCGATGCTAGAAGCGAACCTTCACAGCTGAAATAATTTGCTATCATTAATTCAATGGCTTGGGAGAAAAAAAAAACTAAATAAAGAAAGACCTCCGATTTTTAATCTAATTACAAATATATACACCCTTCTTTCACAATCACCGTACTCCCCTGAATCCTTATTTTTCTTTCCATTTTACGAATCCGCATCAACTATTTATGTTAAGAAAATTGGGGCTTTCCCTAATCAGGTTGAGGGGTTTAGCCACCTCCCACCTATGATCAGATTACTCCACTAACACTTTTTTTTTTTTTTTTGTTAACATTATTTTCTATACAAATCAACAGCAGCCCAAATTTTGAGTCAAAAGCAAAATTATTTTCGAATCTAACTTTGAACCCCCCTCCAAGAACTCTATTGATTGTTTAGATCATTCAGCAAATTTCATTGCACAACCTTGTGTCAGAAAATTGAGTTTTATATAAATGTAAATCACATTGTTTAGGGCCCACACACACAAAAATAAAAAAAAAATAAAAAAATAAAAAAATCGAAAGTGCTTCCTACCTGAAAGCGAGTGACCATATGCAAGAGCTGTGGCCAACCAGAGGGGATACACATCGTCCAGAAGAGAGGTCCCACATCATAATCTTGCCGTCTTCATCACCAGACGCCATGTAACGGCCGTCAGGTGACATCGCCAGGCATAAAACCGAACTCCTATGGCCGATGAAAATCCTAACACATTCCCCACTCTGAACATCCCAAAGCCGCACGGTTTTGTCACTGGACCCAGTCGCAATGTAGTTGCAGTTGGCATGCCACTGCACACACTACACGAGGGAAAAAGGAAATATAGTTCATACAATCACAGTAAAAAATATATTTATGTTAAATGCAATCTTGGAAAGATGTTGAATCAACGCAGCAGCAATTAACGAAAAGTCAAGCTACTTGGCTAAGGTGAATTCTCGGATATGAAAAAAAAAAAGAATCCTATAGAGATAAAATACGGCAATAAGTCGCGATAGCAATGGCAAAAAATCCCAAGACAACACGTTGCTATCAAATCACTTTCTATAAGAAACAACTAACAAACAAATAGAGCTCAAATATGTCATCATAGAGGACCCAATTAGTGGATATTTCATGAAAGAACTGTCGACACCAAATTTCAAGATACTACGTGGAAGCATGGAATTAGAATTACACAATTGAACATCAAGCGGGAGTGTTAAACATTGATGCTCTGAATAATAAAATATGCACCGCCATTCAAAGATGATTCTAGAATAGGATTGAATTATACATTGATTGCATAGTCTGAAAAAAGTGAAAAAAGGATCTGGACAATTTTTAGATAAAATAGATAAATGTATCAAGTTAATGACAGCGATAGGAATATCTAAAGCATAATTAACTGTCATACTGCCATGTCTTAATATGCCTACATATATGCATGATGTGTTGTAAAACTAAAGCAAGCCCTTGTATTAACGAAAAGTCTTCCTTCATTATTTGAACCAACCTCATCATATATTTACTAAGCTGTATCATTTTCAATTCCACAACAAAATATCTCCATGTCTGTTGCCATTTAAATAAATGGGTAAAACATTTTTTCCAACCTGTGCTATACATGTTTTTGGACTTCGCAATATATATTATTTTTTACGTAAAATGCAAGCTAAACTTCATGAACATTTATAATTTGCAACACCGCAGACATATTGACCATACACGTGTTCATTTTTGCGGATGATCGTATGGTCAAGGTTTAGATGAGGTTGTAAATTATGAATGTTCATGAAGTTCATATGGCATTTTACAACGAAAAATATTATAGGTAGCGAAGTCCAAAAATGCGTATAGTACAAGTTGCAGCCAATGTTTTACCCTAAATAAATCATTCTCTACATTCTACACTTCTACATATACAAGATAACAACTTAATAATAATACAAACAAATATGTGACCATGCATAAACCCATCTCATCACATTGTTACCAGATTTCAGTGTTAATATACACAAATAAGAACCAGTTCAGTTCCTTTGTTAAGTTACATGAATATTTATGCATCTTGGAGAGCATAGACAGACATTAAGAAATTTGCAAAAGTTCTTTTTATTGTAGTCTCGTCTCGGGCAACACTTATTTTTAGAAATTAATAATGTTACGAACTTTCCGTGTGGAGCTGTTTCTTTTTTTTTTCTTTTTAATTTCTTCCAGGTAGCAAGCAAAATTCAGGTCCAATGGCTGAGGGTAACTCTTGGCCAAAACCAAAAGTTGTTATGAATGACACATAAAAAACCACTCACTAACACAATGCGGATGGGGTACATACATACATCTAACAGTATATACATGAAGATGTTGATATATATTATGTCGAGAGAGAGGTGGAATGGAGAAAGAGGGCAGAAGACAGAAAATGTACTTACATCAACATCAGATAAATGACCTGCCATTATTCTTAATGGTTGTATTCTATCCATAGCCCAGATCCTTGCTGTCCGATCATGTGAAGCACTGGCAAAATAGTGTCCTACTGGACTAAACTGCATTGGATTATGCAAAAGCATGATTCGTTTACATCATCATGGAAATATAATATTCATAAAATATGAAATGAGATGCTGCATCTGATTGAGTTTTTTAAGAAAGTTGTTCAAAGCATTCACTCGATTAATATATTTTCTTATAATCTATGGATAATGCAACAATGTCATTTGAAAGTTAATTATTGCTCACATACATTTTTCATGAATAAAAAGCACAAATAATATACCAGCTTTAAGGTGAAGTTACCCTGAGCTAAACAGAACTAGGACTGGCATGAGCAGACAAAAATGAAAGAATACAGAAAAAGACAGTATCCCATCCAAATCCAACGGATAATTCCAGATAATAACCAGATGAAAAAGACTTTTTACTGCTTGATCTCCTAGCAGTAGAACTATAGGGTAGTCTTAATCGTTAGTGATCACCAAAAGAATATACTTAATCAGGACTATCAGTTACAACTAAACCTATGTTTTCTCCTTTTGAATAATTCATAACCTATACCAGCTGAGCCATACTTTAATCACTAGCGCTGTTGAATTTTTCAATGAAAGTCATCATTTTTCTTCCTGTGCATTGTGCCGGAGAACAGTTGGCAGTAACAATGAAGAAAACAAAAAAAAAAAAAATAAAAAAAATTTGAAGCTCTCTTTTCTACCTGGACATCCCACACAGGGTAATTATGACCCTTGTAGCAAACCAGATTTGCATTAAATTTCGTGCTCCACAATCTTACTGCAATTAGAGGTCACCGTTATACATACGAGACAGAAGAAATCAGGATATGAACAAATCACAAGGAAAAACTGGAAAGATATCTTACCTGTAGAATCTGACGATGATGATAGAATGTAATCCCCGAACGGACTAAAAGTAGCAGAATGAACAGGTCCAGAGTGACCTCGAAATAAAGTGTAAGGTCTTCTCCCAGCATTTGATCCAGGCATATGCTCATTTGGCACCACCTCGTTCTCACCCTGTAACGGGGCTGATATTACTAGAATCAATATCTGTACCCCATTACAAATATATGAACGTGTCCACCATGAAATGACAAGAATATGCAATATGATACACCATAACACCAAAGAGGAGAAAGCATGCTCTTTTAAAATAGAAATATTTTTTAGCTGCCTTCTAGAACCCACCTCACCGGGTAGTTCTAAGTTGTTTCTATGCATGCCCTAGGACCATAATCAACAGAAGATGCTAATATATATACATAAAATTAATGCAAGAGTCGGAAAAATTAAAATAATAATAAGCAAATTTCTCCACTTAACTTTCTGAAAGAGTGTAACGAAATAACGTTCAACTTACAGTTTCCGTTTTGTTGCCCAAGCTTTGCCATGTCCCAAACCTGCTTCCATCTTGGCCTTCAGTCAGGCATAAATGAGAGAGAGATAATAAAGTAAACAGAAAAGCGATCAACCTTTAATGAGGAGTCTGAAAATCCACCGGCTACCATTGATCCATCATGAGATATTGAAACACAATTCAGGCTGTGGCAATGATATAAGAGTTCCAGGGGTATTAGTACAATAGTAAAGCAATATACTGAACCAAATCAAAGAATTTTCTTTTTCCTGCATGGAAAGCATACCTGTTATGTGTGTTGATGAAGGTGTAGAAACTGACCGAAGGCAATGTCATGCTACTCAACTGAACACGGTTTCTCAAGTCTTCAAGAATAGAATGTTCCACATCTTCCGTTCTGACAAAACATGAACAAAATTATTAATAACAAAATCTCTATATTCCAGTTAGCAAGAAGACTAGCCAGAAAGATTAGTTAACATCACTCAGCGGAACATCATATATGCACAGAAATATACGCAAATACCGAAGCATCTAAGAACTTCTGGAATGGTATTTACTCCTCTTTGATGGAAAACTTTAAAATTACTCCTTTTCTGGATGGGTTTTGTGTCATGCCTCAAATTGAATCACTGGATTAGGTTAATTGGTTTCGTGTTTATAATGAAGCTACCTCAAAATAATGTTCATCTATGGAATAAATGAGTAGCATTATATTTTTTAACCATGACTATAATAGTTAACATTTAACATTATATCATCATATTAATACATAAAAAAAAAAATAAACTTAGTTAAAATCTCCGCATCCGACCCTGCCAGCACCATTCAAATAGAAAACTAACATTAGCACGTTCCCCTAACTCCTTTTCTCTTTATCTATCATAAAAACAGAAGAAATACTAATGTGTCTACAACCACCACTACCAAGCCATTTAACTAAAATACTTGAAAACAATCCAACCCCAAGCTACACAACTTGATTTTATATGTAAAAATTGGGTATTCCAAAAAAGAATTAAGTCCGAAGGCAGCATGATTGTTTATTCCCGAATCCAGCTTCTAAAATGACAATTAGGGAGTTGTGAAACCTATTCAACTACTCAATTTAGTCCAGTAATATTTACGTCGTGTGGCAATTGCTGGAAGATTGCATGTACTGAGCTCACAGCTAGACTAGGATAGGAACAACCGAACAACTATGACTTATCAATGGGTATGTGAGATATCTGCACAAGCAGTATTTCACATTAACTTAAAGCACAAACGAATTGTAGATCCATTGAGCTGAGTGTGCATTACCAATAGGAAAAAAGTGAACAAAAGAGCATGTCCACAAGTGAAAGTTATACTACTTAAGTTACTATGTGCTCCCTGGAAGGAGAAGGATCAACATTGACCTACAGCCAATAATGACATAAATGATAATAATAGGAAAAGGCATAACTGCACAAGATTCTGGGATATACATTACTGGCAAGGCCAGCTCTGGTTTGACACGTGGTGCTCCAGAAACTGTGGCATTGTCCGAACGATTCGCTTTTGTTACAGAACCTGCAACCTTATCCTTCTTTTGCTTCTTAAGTGTAGTTCCTTGTTTGCCACCATCAACGGGTCTTTTCTGGACAACAGGAATAACAGCTGCGAAATGTTAGTGAACTAGAACAGTTTTATTTCTGCCAGTATAAGAATTTGAGATAGCAATAGAGCCTTTAAGAGATACTAACAGCCTTATTCTCTTCCAGTTCCCCTTCTCTCATTTCTCCATCAGCCTTTTCTGAATCCACATTAGAGACACTTGTCTTCTCCAACTTTTCTTCCAATGAATCTTCAAGCAACTGCCACAATGTAATTATTATTAGATAAAGAATGTCTATTAAAGACTCTTACAAGAAACTAAGGTTCTTCTTTGAGGATGAGGAAGTACATTAGAATTAGAACAATTTAAATAGATGCTGAAAAAAATTAGCATCCAGCTCAAGATCTCAAACATATGTATATATTTCTAATAAACCATCCACAGACAAAGAAGCAATGTTCTTGTTTCTATAATGATGATGATACGGTGATACCAACACAAAGAAAAAAGACCCTTTTATTAGATTATGAATGCCTGTTAAAGACTCTTACAAGGAACTAAAACCTTCTTCTAGGAAATGCATGAGAAGAGGCTTACAAATTAAACAAATACAGAAAAAAATTAACCCAGCTCAAAATATTCAAATCAGTTCAACCACTTCAACATACCCAGTATATTAGTATATTCCCAACAGGTTGGGGTCTGGGGGGTCAGTTGTACGCAGACCTTACCCTTGTAATTATACAAGGAGGTTGTTTCCATAGCGACCCAAGGTGCGTTGCGTCGTTTGATATATTTTTTTCTAGAAACTTTACTAATAGAAGAAGCACTAGAATTTAATTGAGCCATTTTGATCTAGTCCATTATTAGCACTATGCCAGGAGAATTGTCAACAATGACTCTTCCAGCTCCATATGCAACGGAGCTGGATATTCAAATCAGTTCAACCACACGAATTTAAAATATCTAACTCATGAAACCTTCCACAGACAAATATCTGTATATATTTCTAAAAATTCATCCACACAAAAACGTGACCTTGTTTTGAATCAACACGATGAAGTACCTTACGGAAGATTGACATGAGCACATGTGCAGGGAAAGGGCTCTACTTTACTTAATATAACTAAACTATGAACAGATTATTGATAAAAGAATCTCTTAATAGCTTCTTGGCGTTTTATACCTGATAGTAGATTGTTTAAACAAATGTGACAGCAGTAACTTGAGAGAACCGCAAATTTATTAGAGACATATTAACAGATTATATTTGATTATTCCTACTAGCAAGACACCAAGGTGTGTCTGAAACAAATCAATTATGCTTTATTTATTACTAAAGGCCTTGATAAAAGAAACAGTGGACCAGATTAATCTTATCTTTTCCAAGGTAAAATATTAAAAGTCGAATAACATGTTCACTGCTCGACTTGATTAGATTTTTTTCTCCTATAAAATAAATGCAATATTATAAGGAAAAAATTATGAAGATGACAAACATTTCACTTGATATTTACCTAAAAAGAAAGACAACTCTTTAAAACAAATATTAAGACAATATTTTCAAGAATCTACGGGCATATTGATGCTAACTAACCCCCCAATGTATCTCTTTCTGGTTTATCAAATTAGCTGCATCCTGGTCACTTCCAAAAAGGGTAACAAATTCTGCATCATCAGCAATTGAGCTTGGTTGTCCAGGACAAACTGTTGGATCGTCAGAATAATGTTCACACGAAAAACACAATTTGTAGCAAGTCAAAAATACATAAATAAAAAAATAAAATAAGCAGGGAGCTTAGGAAACAATCAGTAAGACTAAGAGTAGGAAATACACCTTGAAAGTTGATGTGCTCGTTGATGATTCCAAGCATCGTAGTTGACTGAGACTTGTGCAAGTATTGCAGAAGCAGGTCATAGGAGTACTAAATTGACAAGTAAAAACAAATGTAAGACTATATCAAATAGTCATACCCAATTCAGTGTATCTACATGAAAAGTAGCAATGTAGCATTAGTGACTTCTTTTGTATCACAGAAGAAATTTGAACAGTTGCATATGTTACAGAGACCCTAGATTGCAGCTCAACTTATGCAATCGCTGCAATTCTGCTAAAATCAGTTCAACCACTTTCCGGTAAAATCTGCTAGTAGCATCATATGCATAACACACAACGACCCAAAAATTTTTACATCAACTTCTGGCATAGAATTATACGGTTTGCATAAGAGATGGTACACAGCATATGGAGGCGAGAAGACAAACAAACGCATAGAGACAGGAGGGGAGAGAGGAAGAGAGAGATTACTTGGCATATCTTAATGCTAACTTTGCTCTTCCTGAGAGTATGTGCAAATTCCATCTCCTGCATGAAAGAAGATGTTTTAAGGACAGATTGCACAGATATATCAAACTATAAATTTAAGTCATCATTCAGGGAAAGTTATGGACCTCCAGATGAGAGGGAGAAAGAACCCCTTCTAATTTTTGGAGGTCACGTGAATGCGTCAGCTCGTGGTCTCCTCGAAAGCTATTAAAAAAATCTCGAGCTGCAAAGAAAATGATTACTTTCAATAGGGTGCCCTGATAAAAGTGTAAAAGCTAATATTACATTTCAGCCATTAAAAAATAATGTAGTTGCAAAGCAAATGAATGTCAATAAGTTTCCCTGATAAGATGAAACAATGTAAACGGCATAATATATTTAGCGTACCTTCCTGAATATGACCCTTTGCTACAAGATCCATAAATCCATGGAGAAATACCGGATACAAAACTCTGACCAACTCGTGCTGTATGACATTAAGAAGCAATGTAAACGGTCACATATTTAAAAGTCATATCTGCTGCAGAAGGCATTAAATAACAATGTTACTCCTCATTGGTGACTGATACCACCAGTTCTACTTATTCCACAACTAAATGGCAAGTAACTACAAAAGCACAAACAGAAAGAGAACTATACCTTCGAAATTCGATCACCAATTGAGCTCTATTCAACTCAAAGAAACAACTTTATTTTTATATCATCATGTAGATGACGATCGATCATAAGCATATTGTCATAACTCATATGTGATTATGTGTTTTAGGACTAGGATTTTGACTTCTTATTTCTTGACTAATGTATCAAGGCACACCCCATCACGTGCAATATCCTAGCGGAAATCACTGCTCATGGTCCTCAAAGGTTAAATGCGTACCCAGTACCCACATATCCAATACATGTCCTCTGGGTAAATGGATCTTTAAATCTCAGAGGAATTATCAGTGAGAACAACTTGTCGGACAGGTAACACAGAGCACACATGATAACACGTGTAAAGCAATAACAAGTTAATTAAAATAATTGCTTTAACCTGGTACTGATCGAGTGAACTATAAGCCCATGATCGAAGTTTGTCATAGCCTTCATGGTACTGCGCTGGACTATCCAATCTGAAAACAGTAACTTGATCAGAATCATCAATAAATTCACAAATACACGAGAAAGATGGTAACTTTACACAAAACATCACTAATCAATCTGGAAAAGTGCCTTCCCTCAATGCTTTTCATACACACACTTGACTGCCGAGTTTCGGTCATACCATAAAAGTAGGTATAAAGTTGAGTAACATCCATTAACAAGTAAGATCAAAGCAGAAACAGCTAAAAATAAGCATAATTAGTGTAATATTTTCTCATACTCAGCGAAGGCAAGGATTTGTTTGGCAATATCAGGGTCAATTTGGGCGATCGAGGCGTTGCCTTTGCCGTGCTGCTGTTTCTCCTGCTGTAATGCGAGCTCAGCTTGCTTAAAACCCCTCTTATCCAAATAGGCGAGCACCGCTTTATCGATATCCTCTGGGTCCATTCCCTTTCCTCTCTCTCTTCAAATTATCCTCTCGTAAATTTGGTGCGCACCAAAAACCCTAAACCCCCAAATTTTAGCGAAGTAGAAACTAGTTGATACTGGTGAGTACCGAGTACAACTATTTTACTATAGTGTTACTAATAATAATAACAATAATATAATAATAATAATAAATAATAATAATAATATATAATAATAATAATAATAATAATGATACTTCCTCTCAATATTTTAGTAAACCCTTCTCCCCCAAATTCTCTTCTTCCCGTCGCATCTCTAATCTATCGCCGCCTCTCTCCCGGCTGTCGGCCTATCTGGTAGTCCCCCTCTCGCCGCCCGGCCCTCCCAGATGCCGCGACCAAGCTCGCCTCTGGCTTCGGTGGTCCCTGTGGCCCTAATTCTTCTTTCCCGTCTTCGGAAATTGAACTAGGGTTCGCCATAGCTGATCTTTTCGTTGCTATGAAGTGACCTTGGGCCGCTGAGCTATGGGTCTGGGTCGGGGGCAGCCTCGGCGGTCCATTGTTTCAGGTGGAGTCTTGGGTTTCAGGCGGTCCTCTCCCTCTTCCCGAACTCGACTATGTCGGCGAGCCTCCGTTTGCTGCGGGGTGTTAGAGCCGTCCGGTTGCTTTGTTCCTTTTCGCCGGTGGTCTGATGTGTGAAGGAGGAGTGCTTTTGGTCGTCGATTGGCTGTTGCCGGTCCCGATTGAGGGTAAGTCTCCTTCTAGTCGCTCTTGTCTCGGTTTTCTTTTGTCTGCGGTCGGCGGTGTTTGGTGTTTCGAGGGTTGGGCTCTTGAGTTGCCCAGGTTCTTTGGCCTTCGGGATGGTGGGGTTGAGGTTGCGGGATCGAGACAGCTCTCTCCTCGGTTCCCTTGGTATTCGAGGTGTTCACGGTTCTGCTGAGCCCGCTAGTGGTGTTAGGGGGCTTGGTTGGTCGTGTTGGGAGCTTCTTGGTTCTCTGGTGTGTGGGTGCATTGGCTTTGGTGGGTCTCGTGGTTCGAGTTGCGATCCAGCTAGGCTTAATTGCAGTGGAGGGATCGTTCTTCTCAAGTGGCGAGGTTCCTAGGGTTGATTTTGTGGCTGCTAGTCTGGTTGGATTTGCTGCAGAGGGAGGGCTTTTTGTGTGTTTTAATGTTTTTGATGTTGTTTGAGTCTGTTTAGTTCAGTATTTTTGGTCTGGGCTCTTTGCCTGAGTGTTCTGTATTGTATTTTTGGTCTGGGCCGTTGGCCTCTGTGCTGATTCCCCCGTGGGGGGCGATCCTATTCTCCTGTGGGGAGCGATCTTAGTTGTGTTGATGTCTTTTAGTTGTGTGTAGTAGTTCTCTTTTCTAGCGTGGCTAGCGAGGCTTTAGGCGGACTTTCGATCCGTCCTCTCAGTTTTTAGTTCTTGGTTGTATTATTCAGCCTTGGGCTGCTTTTTTGCACTGTTGTGCACTTTGATTTATAACACCTCTATCGTTCCGGCCAAAAAAATAATAATAATGATAATCACCATATCGAGGAGCATGTTTGTTTATAGAAATTTTCAAAAAATTTCCCACATTTTAACTCAACCACTTTTTTAACTCAACTTTAACTCAAACTCACTATCATCAATTATTATCAATATAATTAAATAATATCAATCGATCATTCATACACACCATATCAACTTTAATTCACTATTCATCCACTCACATTATTTTAACTAACCATCACATCAAACAATATCTCTCCTACTTTTATATCAAATCATTTTGATTATGTTATTTAAAATATTATTTTAATATACTCACTAACAACTAACAATACTACTTTTTTCAAAATTAACCAAACCAAACCAAAAAATCCAAACAAAACCAAAAATTTTTATAAACAAACATACTCTAACTATTTTGCTAACAATAATAATAATAATAATAATAATAAACTCCCGTGCATTGGACGTGCACTGTACTAGTATATATAATAAGAATAATCATTTACAAAAAATAGTAGTAAAAAATTTTGGAAACATTTAATGCATACATTTTTTAGAAACTTTTTAAATATATGTATTAATTTCTGTCATATACACGTTTTCAAATAAGATCAAATCAAATATGATAAAAAATTATTGTTTCCTTAAATAATGTTATTAATATCTGCAATAATTTCATTGATATAATAATACAAAATTAATTTTCCGTGATTCATGTTGATAATATTTTGATCAAGATAATATTACAACATATTTTAAGTTCTTACCATAATTGTTATCATCCGCCCTGGTAATCCATATTATTCGTATAAAACCACGTGTTAAGCGAGTCATTACTGGCGCTAGCCAGACCCTTCTCACCCCGGTTCAGCTCTTAGCCGAACTCCGGCTTAACCTAAAGGAAAACCGACCCGCCCGCCGGAAACCGAAGTCACCACCAACCGAGATCACCATACTCGAAGCAGGTGACAAGGCGCACACGCGACATGTTCAAATACCACAAGAAATCTCATCATCTGAGTGGGTCCCGCTCACATGGCCGCCCATCCAAAAAGATACAATAAATAGAAGATTCTTATACTTGTACAAGATCGAAAACTAAACATTTCATATATATATATATACAAAAAAAGCCCAACACCTTTCACCTCGATTCACCTCGGATCGGGGTAATTGTTCTTGTTTCGATGCATGCTTTACGTTCGTATCACTACAAACACCTTGCTAATCTCAAATAAAATCGTTGTTAATAATCAGACAACAACAATAATATTACTTCTTTTTTTTCACAAATATTCACATTTTATCCAAAAATATTTATACTAAAATCCTAACACGTTAGGTAGAATTTTTTTTACTAATTAATTAGGCGAAATCAAGCTGGTGGATTAATCTTTGTCAATATAATTTTTTTTGAAGTTTTATTTCGTTATATATATAAATAAATTATCTTTGAATTTATTTAATTTATCATTTAAGAGATAATAACCAGATACATTAAATAGTATTACTAATGACGAAAGTTAAAATTGAATATATTAATTGTTCTTTATAATTTATTTGTATTATTGGCAACCATGATTATATTTTTTTTATTTTGATTTCTTTCTATAATGAAATTCCAAAAAAATATATTTTAACTACAGAATATGCTAAATAAACTATTAATCCTTATAATGCAAATTGGAAGAATTTTAATTATAGAAGGGATTGTGTTTTTGGCATTTATTAAATCAAAGTTGTTTAATTAGCATACAAAATTGAATTCTAAAAAAACTTGTGTGTTTATTTTGCAAAATATTTATACACTGTTTAATTTTAAATTTATTTACATATTTTAAATTGATTACATAAATAAATAGTGCTAGTGTGCATTAAATAGTTTTCATTACATAAAATAAAAAGAAAAAGAAAACGTACCAATTTTATAAATTTTATAAATAATAATAACATTATACGACAACAAAGTTTATAATAAAATAATAAGTAAGTATTATATGATAAATAAGAATAAATAAAACTGTTATTTTCTCTTGTATCAAGGAATAAATAAATATACTAAAATCAAATTTATGTTAGTATAATGTGTAAGTGAGATAATATTGTTTGTCCCATTTTTGTTACGTTTTTCGTTGTCTTTTTTCCGTTCTTTTTCCCCCGTATTGAGTTGTTTAGGTGGTTTTAGGATCTTTTTGTCATCTATCATGTGTTTTGCGTTCATTTGAGTGTTGCGGTGTTTTCCGTTTGTTTTCCGGTATTTTTTTGTTCTCTTTTTGTTTTTGGTGTGTAGTTTGGAGACCCTGGGAGAACAATTTTTCGAGAATATTTTGGGGAAGCTGACACCATTAGAAAGAGGGGCTCGTTAGCGACGCGTAGAAAAAAACGAAACTCAATTCTGAGTTAAAACGAGCCCGAACGAGCAAAAATTGTACAGTCGTGCAGTGCAGATTTCATCGCCGCGGCCGCGACACTTTCTTCACCGCGGGCCGCGGCGAACAAAATCTGCCAGGTCCCAGAACTTCAGCACAGAAATCCCGCGGCCTCGGAGCAAGTCGCGGCCGTGGAGCTGTTCTTCACCGCGGCCAGCGGAGCTTCCCCGCGGCCGCGAAAGTCGCGAAAAACCAGATTTTAAGTGCAGATTTGTGTAATCGTTGGGGGCATTCTCTTCCCTTCTGGGAGACGAACCCTAGGCCAGAGAAAACACATAAGACTCCATCCTTCTTCTCCTTTCTTCCTTCTTCTTTCATCTTTCTCTTCCATTTTTTCTTCCTCTTTTTCTTAAAATTCAAGGATTAAGCTTGTAATTCAAATTCAACATTTGGAAGTGCGATTTATTGTAAGTTATTCTCTTTATTTTTAACTCATGAATAATGGTTGAATTGAAAAAGATTATGAATTGTGTTGAATTGATATTGCTTAGCTAATTCTGATTGCTAGGGATTAGAGATGATTGTTCATGTTTAACGTGTATCTCTCGGGCTTGAATTGTTCGTTCTTATGTGCGTTGTTTTGATGAGGAATTGATGAATTTGTATTCGATAGATTGATATAATCGAAAAGTGACATTTTGATCTTGCTATTGGTGACAGTTGGATGTTAATTTGTCGAGTTATGGTTTGTCAATTCTATATGATTAGTTGATTAATCACATTCTAATTGACTTAGCGGCTTTCAGAACCGAAAGGGGAGAAGTCGTAGAAATAGGCTCACATGAGGTAGATGATTTCGTAATTGAATAGTCTATAGGTTTTTGGTTGAAGTACGTGCGAGTCGATGACCCGTCCCTTGTCACGAAAAGTTATTGGGATTGGGATAGTTGGCATGTATTGTATGCTCGAGCTTGTACGTCTATGTTCCATCCCTTGTTAGGAAGAGTTATTGGGAGTGAACCGCTAGATGTCTAAGCGAGAGTGTCAATCTCGAACCGAACAATTGATTGCCCGGTTTTGTTAGAACTTGAATTAATTATCCCGACTCCCTAGCTTCTTTTTCATTGTTTTGTTCGTATTTCTTAGGTAGATTATTATTTTTATGTTATTTCTTA